ATATATATATATATATATATATATATAAAAGATAAAGTTATAATAATATAATATAATTAATTTTGCACTATAATTTTCATCATTTGGTTGGTTTGGTTCTAACCATGGTTATAGATTTCAAAGAGAATCATTCAAAATAAGACAAACTCATAAGGCAAACCTCATTATTCGACACAAAAGCATCCAATCCACTTTCTTTATAATAATATAATTAATTTTGCACTATAATTTTTATCATTTGGTTGGTTTGGTTTCTAACCATGGTTATAGATTTCAAAAAGAATCATTTAAAATAAGGCAAACTTATAAGGCAAACCTCATTATTTGACAYAAAGGCATCCAATCCACTTTCTTATACACTTCATTTTGTTCAAATCTTTCAATTCTTCACCAATGTGGGACAACTAAAATTCCAGTACAATCCACCATTTGAGAATACTTAATTTTTATTGTGTCACCTCAATATCCTAATAAGATAACTTTATGACTCGCTGAGCTAACACAATATAAGATTTGTTTTGCAAAAATAAGGCCATTCAAATAAGATAACCTTATGACTCAAACCTCATGAGTTGACACAATAAGTCTTAATTCTTTTTTCTTATACACATCTTCTTATTCCAATCTTTCAATCTCTCACCAATGTGGGATATCTCAAACTCAACCATAATTCACCAACACCTTAATACTCAATTCTCATGATGTCACCTCAATACTCTTGGTTCTTCCTTTCCACACACAAAAACTCCATATGCCTACATAATTCCAACTTTAATGTGAATATCTCCGATCCAATTTTAGTGTGAATATCTCCAATTAAAAGACGAAAATACTATACTTACATTAACAAAAACTCATATCATATCTCTTATTGAATGACGCTTCAAATAAACAAAAGTGCAAATCACCTCAAAAACTGAGTAGAGAAAAAGAATTGAGAAGTTTTTTTTTTCTATCCAATGTTACACTATTTCTTCAAGGATTCAGATGTCACTTTATCCACACACAAAAACTCCATATGTCTACATAATTCCAACTTTAATGTAAATATTTCCGACTAAAAAAAGAAATATTATACTTACATAAACAAAAACTTATATTATGATTTGTCTTATTGAATGACACCTCAAATCAACAAAATGCAAATATACGATAAGCTTATGAATCAAGCTTTTTGAGTTGACACAATGAATTTCATTCTTTTTTTTTCCTTATACACATCTATTTATTCTAAGCTTTCGATCTCTCATCGAAGTAGGATATGTCAAACTCAACCACAATTAACCAATACTTCAATATATAGATACCAAATTACCTCATGATGCGCCTAATTATCTCTTGGTTCTTCTTTATATATATATATATATATATACACATACACACACACATATATTTATTGATGATTGTAAACACAATTCATTTTTTATTTTTATATAATAAAGTTTTGCAAAATTAGGATAAAATAACCTTATGACACAAGTCATATGAGCTAACACAATATAAGATTTGTTTTGCAAAAATAATATCATCCAAATAAGATAGCCTTATGATTCAAACCTCATGAGTTGATACAATGAATCTCATCCTTCTTTCTTATACACACCTTCTCATTCCAATCTTTCAATCTCTTACCAATGTGGGATATCTCAAACTCAACCACATTTCACCAACACCTCAATACTCAATTCTCATGATACCACCTCAATACTCTTGGTTTTTCCTTTATATATATATATATATATATATATATATTATATGAAGATATAATAATATAATATAATTAATTTTGCACTATGAATTCTACCATTTGGTTTGATTGGTTTCCAACCATGATTATAGATTTCAAAAGGGTCATCCAAAGAAAGACAACACTATGAGACAAACCTCATATTTGACAAAAAAACATCCAATTCACCTTTCTTATACACTTCATTTTGTTCAAAATTTTCAAATCTTCACCAATGTGGGATATCTCAAACTCAACCACAATTCACCAACACCTCAATACTTAATTCTCATGATGCCATCATATATATATATATATATATATATATATAGATTAAATGAAAATCATAATATTTTGCTTATAACGTCTTAATTATGAAATTATTCCTACGATGCCATGAAATAAGTTCATCCAAGATTGATGCGTGTACCGTGTAGTGTGTAAAGCTAGAATTTCTAACATATTATTTTAAAATTGACATTTTAACAAATTTTGCTAAATCTTTTTTGCTAACAGATATTCTAAAACTTAAAAGATAATTTAAATTATATTTTCAACGATGAAGAATTTTGAAATTAAATTTTTAAGAAAAATAAGATAGATTATTAAAATTTTCAAATTCAAAAAACTCTGAAAAGTAATTATCATAAAAAAGAAATAAATTTAAATTATATTTTCAATCATAAACAATTCTGAAATTAAATGTTTAAGATTTTTTTTATTAAATGTATGAAATAGTTTAATAATATGATTAATGTTGTAATCTCTAAAATGAAATTTTTTTTGAAGCTAAATGAAACTTTTTTAGATTTTGATTTTTAATTCTATGTTTAAGAGAAATTTTACAATATCATCTATTTAACAAACAATTTTTATCAAACATGACTCATTTATCAGCTATCAACTTATATACCATCCAACAACTAAAAACATCTCCGATAAATTCTCCATATGAAAAAAGTAGATCACATTTTTCAAATGCGAAAAACTCTTCAAAAATGGCTGCTTAAAAAAAGAAATGATCTTTATTATTTCTATCAATGTTCTTGAAATAAAATTATGAAAGAGAAATAATATTTTAATAATAAAGTTTTTATATTGTAATTTCCAAAATGAAAAACTCGTTAGAGATGAACGTAAAATTTATTTTGAATATGCTCAAATTTATCAATTACATCATCTTCAATGAAAGTTATTGTAAGAACCTAGTTTTTATACTTTTTGTCATGTTATTTTTAACTCGTCAAATTAAGAATCTATATAAAAATCCATAATGATAGTTATTATAAGAACTTATTTTATGTATCCCATTAATTTTCAACATCTATAATTATCATATTTTTACAATAAATATCAAATATTTAATTTAAAAATCAATAAAATATTGTTTTACATCAGATTTAAGTTAAGAATCAAAATTTTTATAAATACACACACGATATGAGATTTTTATAAAAACTTTATCCAATAATAACCCTTTTTATAGAACATTACACTTTTTAACTATAAAAACAGCCAAAAATAACGCAATTGTAAACAGAAAATTGTTATGAACTTAAAAAGAATAAAAACTAATCCACACATAATAATATTATCATGCACACATATAATTAAAAAATAGTATTTTAAAACGTAAACCGATACGTCTCGAAAAGAATCAACATAAAACATATAATAATGCTAGTAATACTGATTTTTATTGGAGTGTTGAAAATTAAATAAGTGGAAAACACACAAGAACTATTCTTACCTCAATCAAAACCCATATGTGTGTTGCAGTATATTTATTTATTTATTGGTGAGACACTGATGTCGACTTGAAAGCTCCCATCTTTTCATGTCTTTTTCCCTCTCTTCCTCAAAACTCCATACTTGAACTTGATGCATTTCTCTTTCTTTTCATCTCCATCACTTTACACCTTCACTGCAGTGTGTTGAGTTCTTCATGGGAAACAATGGCGATATTATTGTCAACAAAGCAATGTGGTTGTACCCAAGATTCATGGGCTTTAACCCTTCTGAAAGATGGGGTCATTCTTCTTGCTTCTCTAATGGTTTCCTCTATGTCTTTGGTGTATGTATTTAATTCCCTCTATCTCTCTCTCTTTCTATCTCTCTCTCTTTCTGTATCTCTCTCTTTCTGTATCTCTTTCTCTCTCTCTCAATGTATATATATATATATAGTATGTATGTATATATGTTTCCATGAATTTCTCTATAGCTTCAGCCTTCAAATGGGCAACAACAAGTTACGCTTTCTGTTCTTGTTTTTGGTTGTTGCTATCTCTCTCTCTCTCTGTGTATATATATATATATATATATATATATCTATGTATGTATGTATAGAGTGGTATAGAGCGAGTTTCGGAGAGAAAACCAAAAAACGAAAAAAAAAAATAGGAAAACGAAGGAACCATTTTGATAACCATTTATCTTTAGTAGTAGGGTATGTACATACAAAAGAATTGTAGATTTTTTTTCTAGTTTCTATATACATGTACACATTATCGGACATATTACTTGTACGCTCCTGTGCTTACTGTATACTGAATGTTTTTTTTCATTTTCTTTATGGTTTTCTCCATACCCGACTTCAAATGGGGCAATAATAAGTTATGCTTTTAGTTCTTTGCCATTTTCAAATATGTTTATTATTGTTTGCAAATCTTGGGGGTTTATAAGTTAAGAGACTCGGATTTAGAAGCTTTGTGAATGGGAGAACAATATTTTGGTAAAACTTTTATTGTTTGATTATTGACCATTTTTGAATTGATAAGTGAATTTAATCCCCACTTAATTGCATACATAAGTTTTACTTCCACGACCACTTTAATGTACTTGGGGTGAGGGTCTGTTTATAAACAGTTTAATTTGACTCCCAACTTATCAGGTCATTTATATAGATAGATTATTTGGTAATGACTTGGGGGTGTTTGGGATTGCTTATTTGAAACAACTTGTATTTTTCGGCAGAAACACTTATCAACTTATTATAAGTTAGAAGTGTTTAATTTCTTCAAAAGCTCATTGTTACCGGTTTGATACCGGTATAAATTATTTATTCAAACACTTAAAAGTGCTTATTCAGTATTGTTTTTATAAGCAATCCCAAATAGTGCTTATTCAATATTTTATTTCAATGGTGTCCAACACCCTCCTATTTATAAGAAAACCTGACAGATTAATCAACCATAATGGAAAATCAACCAAACAGCCTCTGACCTAGAATCGTTCAGCAAAAAGTGTATGACACTCCACAGCATCTTTAAAGTACTGGGGGAGGTATATAACGTGTCCGAGGAGCAGGTGGGTAGTTTTGCCTGGAGTTGAAACCCTGAACATTTTCATATTTCTGCAAAGATATTCACCTCATTGCCCACTAGTGTGAAGCTTAAAGGTTACGGCTCAATATGGTCCGAAATATACATCATATGAGGGAAGTTCTGTTAGGAACCCAAATTGATTAGGAACTCCGGAACTGCCCACAATATGTTATGTATCCTTCTTCAAGATGAATATTCTGAATATGTTGCAACGTTCGCTATGAATATGTCACGTCTTGCATTGTGGGCGGTCCTTCGATTCCTAATCGATTTTATGTTCCTAACAGGACTTGCCTCTGTATCATCCGTCCTTAAAAAATTGCTGAGTTTGACTTGACACTTGGTTGAATTAAAACAAGAAAAAAACCATGTGGAACAAATATAAACGAATTGAATTTTGTAATGATTACTAACATGAGATAGTTTTGCAGTTTTCTGAACAAATAAATATAGGAAGTGCTGCATTTCTTTTACTGAATTCTAACAAAATTCGCATTCTAGGGATGTTGTGGTGGTCTACATTTCAGTGACGTTCTAGTGCTAAACCTTGAAACCTTGGCATGGACCAATCTAGCAACCACGGGTGCCGGCCCTGGTCCGAGGGACAGTCACAGTGCCGTCATTGTGGGTCACATGATGATAATATTCGGTGGAACCAACGGCTGCAAAAAAGTTAACGACATTCACATTTTGGATCTCTTGACACGCGAATGGACACGACCAAACTGTAAAGGAGTCGCTCCGACGCCTCGAGAGAGCCATACGGCCACTGTCGTTGGCCATGACCGATTGGTGGTTTTTGGTGGCAGTGGTGAAGGGGATGCCAATTATTTGAACGATTTGCATATTTTGGATCTCAGAACGATGAGGTGGAGTTCACCCGAACCGAAGGGCGATGTCCCCGTGCCGAGGGACAGTCATAGTGCTGTCGCCATAGAAAACAAAGTTTTTGTCTATGGAGGCGATTGCGGAGACCGCTACCGTGGTGACGTCGATGTTTTCAATGTTGACACTATGACTTGGTCAAAGGTAATCAGAGCTTCAAATATATGTTTTTATTCGATTAATTAGTCGTCAATCGTGAACTAAAGTGGTTTTCGCGTGAATGTTTAGTATGCTGTTCAAGGCCCGTCACCGGGGGTTCGAGCAGGACACGCTGCAGTCACTGTTGGGACAAAGGCAATTATTTATATCAAAATGTATAATTAAATCTCGACTCTTAGGGATCAAACTAATTGAATCGTGATGTAAACTTGCAGGTTTTCATGATCGGTGGAGTTGGTGACAAGCAGTATTATAACGATGTTTGGGTGCTTGATACGATCACGTGTTCGTGGACTCAGCTAGAGGTTCGAGGCCAACAGCCGCAAGGGCGTTTTTCGCATACGGCTATCGTCGCGGATTCTGATATAGCCATTTACGGAGGGTAAGTATTCTTCATTCTGAACCCTAGACCCTAAAACTCAAAGTATTGGTTTTTCATGGTTGCATAATCTTAATTTCCAGGTGTGGTGAGGACGAGAGGCCACTCAACGAGCTACTCATCTTGCAGCTGGGATCGGACCGTCCAAATGACCGATATAACAACTGCATATGCACGGTGTTTGGAAGCCAACGCGACCAAGAAAAAAGACACCTCTTACACGAACATCAAGCCAACACGAAACGGTCGTCGCCATTCAATTCAGGTTCAATTCGTAAAAAATTATCATGAAACATGTTACAAGTTTTGTATCTAATGTTGGTGTATTTCGACTAGAAGATCCGATGCACACGAAAAGAAAAAGAATGTCGAATTTAAAAGCGTGTGAAGTGATAGAATCAGAACCCGAAGAACACTCACTTTCCCTCTCCCAACATTCATCTCCGTCTCATTCCGATCAAGAACGAACTCTAGTGAAACAACCTTCAAACTCAGCCGCTCAAACTTTGCCGTTTTTTAAGCATCAAAATCAAATTTCAACCAGTAGCAAGCAAATCCCAGGTACCCAATCGAATCCTATCACGATCCTCAGTCGAGCGACACCCAATCTGCAGTTCGTCCAAGAACAATCCGATCACCTGAAAAACCATCATGCAACTCGCCGAGATCATAGAAACTTTGAGGCATTGCGTGTTCAAAACCTGGTAAACGAGTCTGCAGAACACAAAATTCATTCTATTTACACAATTTAAACTGTTTTAATCGGTTGGTTAATTTGAATCTCAGATTGGCGCAGAAGTTCACGGAAAAGTTGATGGAGCATTCGACTCAGGTTACTTGATGACTGCAATGGTTAACGGTCGGATCTTCAGAGGAGTCTTGTTCCCTCCAGTACGCTTCCTATATATACTTTCGATTAATTACTCTCCGGTTCCTTCAATTAATCCATCACGAAAATTTAACTCTTTTGTAAACCAGGGGCCAGAGGTTGTTTCAAGAGGAGGTTTTCGCGACAGCCATAGTCGCAGATCGCCCACGAGCCATATGGCTCAAAGAAACCTGCATGTAAATCGTGCTTTCATCAGGCACTCGAACCATGCACCGGCTCATGGACCAGAACCGAACCATCATGGTTACCAACTCCAAGATCATGCAGTCCATAGACCATCACCGGTGGTTAGGTCAGTTCCAGGTTTATCGTTGGGGAGAGAACAAGCGAAGGTTCAGAACCATGAACTCCATGGTGTGCTTCTTACGCTGGGTGGTCCAGGGAGCGGGCACGGTGGCTCGTAGCTAGATCAAATGGCTCAGACCCTAGCTTTTTGTTTGTATATTTGAGATAAGGTAGCCTAGATTTCATTTTACTCGTGTAAACACTAAAATCTTCTAATGTTTATGCACACAAGATTTGATTGTTTATTTATAACTAGAATTATACTAGTACAATGAGTTTGATATATTTTGATTTTAATATTTTATTTTATTTTATTTTTTTAGTCATTATTACAAAGTTAGGTTTATAGAATGCTATGAATTTCTAAGGATCCTAATTCTAGAGTGTGTTATAAGACAACTATAAGACTAAAAATAAATTGACCTATCTAAAAATATTTTAATAGATTTATAAGACGTTTTTTGACATCTTAATTTTTTTGGGACACTTTTAGTGCAAAAGGTGACATCAACTATTTTATAAGACACTTTTGACAAATGTTCTGTAAACGCATATTTTTTATAGGACATTTGTTTTTATAAAATAATTTTTCAAATATTGTCTTACAAAATAGCTAACACGACATGTTTTCAAATAGTGTCATATAAAATAGCTAACACGACATGTTTTCAAATAGTGTCATATAAAATAGTTAATATGACGTTTTATATTAAAAATGTCCTAAAAGAACTTGTTACGACGTCTAAATTGAAACATCTTATAAACTTATTATACCGCCTTTAGATAGAACATTTTATATTTTGGTCTTATAAATGAAGTCTTATAAGACAGTCTATTATGACAGGTTAGAAAATGCTGGGGTCCTATAAACCCAATGTTGTAGTGTCTCTGTCGATTTTATAATACAGTTTTGTGTGTTTTAGGGCCGCATTCATGTGACATCAACATGTTTTTGTGAGACCACACAATAATAATAAACTTTAACAAAAAAACATTGTAAAGGTAAATTTGAAAATAATATATTGCTATTAGTATAAAATTAACAATCTAAAAGTTCTCGTTTTCTCGTATAATTTGTTCAATTCAGTTTTTTATTATAATTTAATTTATTTAGATTTAAAATAAAGATGTTATTTATACAGTTTTAATAATGTAATATTTTTTGTTGTAAAGATAATGATTAAGTATTCTGTTTGTATACAAAAAATATTTTTTATATTTAAAATCAGGTGTTTATCCTCTATATGATTATGTTTATCTGTTTATTATTTAAATTCAAACATGCAACATTAAAATGTTATATTCATACATCATTTATTAGTAATATCCAATTTTTAAATATGCATAAAAATGGTTTATAAGAATACATCAATTACTTTATAATATAATATATTAATATGGAGAAACACTTTAATTTCCAAGACACTATCTTATACATGAAAACTTTTCTGTTTTAGTGAACTGTATCACGTAATATAGTCAGAAACATTTCGATTATGAAGACGACAACTTGAACCATCAATTTTGATTTATCTTTTGCTTTATTTTTTTCACATGATCTGTTTTATGGTCTTGTGTAGTTTTGGGAAAGTGAGGTGGCTTTTGTTTTTAAAAGGTGTTGAAGTCTAAAATCTTATTTCGGTTTTGATTAATAAGAGATGGTGCTGAAGTAAATCTAAATCAATAAGAATGTTTGTTTTTGTAAACTGACAAACGTCTGAAGTTTGAATCAATTGTTTGTTTTTGTAAAATCAGGTGCAAATTTTTTGCAAAATTCTCTTGATTTTCTTAAAATTCTCATTGCCGAAAACAATTTCAAGAATTGCTTAACAAATGGAACACATAAACAACCTTTTGTATATCTTTCAGACTTTCGATGCTATCGGGAATGCTGCCGGTGAGTTTGTTTGTAGAAAGATTGATACTTTTGATAGATGATAGATCGCTGATAGAAGTTATTGTTTCACCATTAATCATCTAAGCTAACCTAGAATACATAAATTATGTATATATATACACACACATACACACACACACACAGACACACACATATATATATATATATATAGAGAGAGAGAGAGAGAGATAGTAGGTGGGAGCATGCATTTCACATAGGTGATGAAAGTACGGGGACGTTCCTAGTAGAGAAAGAAGCAATAGCCAAAGAGAATAAAAAATGAGAAACAAGAGGAATTAAAATATTATTTTACCTCTTATTTATTCAGAACCTATTAAGAGATAAGAGACTTTGAAAAAAAAACAAATAGTTTGAATTACAAAACGTCTAAATGAATCAAACATAAGTGTTAATTAAGTGTAACACCCCCAATACATACATTGCATATAACACATATATTATACATAGAATACATGTCTTCTCCCACATAGGTTCATAATACAAAAGTCTTTAATGTAAAATACGCAACTCATAAAATTCCAAAAGTACATGTTCTTGCATCCTAGCATCTATGCTTCCAAAACAGCTAAGCACATAGGGAAGTAATTCATATAATGCTCTTTCCCTTATTATCTTTACATGCACACATAGTTTTGAAAACACGAAATGAGGGTTAGACCTGAATGTCTAGTGAGGTTCCCTTTTATATAATGCAGGGTGAAGATTACCTAAACATTTATCAAATAATCATTTCACAACATGCGGAATAAAATCAGATTCTGCTTTGGTCCATCGAGCCTCTGGTTCCAAACCACACTTGTAATATATTTCAATAACCAGGACCAGAGCCCCTCTGGTCTCTTTTCCAGAGCTTCTGGTTCTTCGACCAGAGCCCCTCTGGTCTCTCTTCCAGAGCTTCTGGTTCCTCGACCAGAGCCT